AAGTTGAGGTTGAGGTTGCGCCATCAGCATCATCAACAGCACCTCTTGCACTCAACGACGCTACAGCATCCGACTTCCTTCCGGAGGAAACCACAACATTGGACCAGGGGGGCGCTTCACCACCGGAGGCACCGACTGAGTCCAGAAAGCGTGTTCGTTTCCTTGAGCCGGAAGATCCCGTTGAAGTCGAGATCGAGATCGAGCCAGACGAAGGCGATGTGAAAAAGGAGGAAGAAGTCAAAGTTGAGCCGATGTTCGAGCAGGCACCGCCTCAGCCGGAATCGACTCCGTTGGCTCTCCCTCCAGCCCCCGTTACGGGTGGCCGCCACAGGGCATGTCCCCACTGCGGTGCTCAACACCTTGTGGGACAGATGATATGCTTGAGCTGTGGCGTTCACATAGTGAAGCCTTCCCAGCAGAACGCACGCAAGAAAGTGCGTGTAGCTCGTTGGTTCGCTGAAGAGGCCGCCGCTGCCACTGCGGGCAAGCCACGTTCCCAGCTGACGCCGGAGGAGGTCATCCATGAAATGACCAGAGACTCCTCGACACAGCGCGGAACGACGTCACTTGACGCAGAAGCATTGGATAAGGCCAGGCAGCAGTTGAAGATGGCTACAAAAGGAGGCTACACAAGCATCGTACACCGCTTCGACAATGATGTGGACTACACTATGAGTTCCATCGGCAATGGGTACGATCGAGAGTTTCTGGCCATCGAAGACGTGCTCACGCATGCTGCACTGCCGAACCATGGCCGTTCGAAGGAGCAACGACAGTTAGCTGTCGGCACCTACGGTGGAAGCTCCGAAGGGCCAAGGAACCAGGAGATTGCTCGGTTGCTCTATTTGCACGAGTGCAATCCAGCCGCCCTTAGGGCAGGCCTGATCTCCGCAGTGAGTGACGATCCGTTTTGCATCATGTGGCTGGGAGGGGCATACAGTTTGCGTAAATTCGTAGATGTTTTCCTCCAGCACAAAATCGTGAAGATGATTGTTACTTTCTCAGAAGAGGCACTCTACGTTGATCCACGACTCGGCTATTCTGCTGAGGACTGGACTGAGTGGCTCCGTGGGAAATTCGCGGAACAGGTCGGAATTGCACGCCGTGCATATGAAGAACGCCAACGCAATGCGGAGCGTTCTCGCATCGCACAAGCAAAGGCCGATGCGCGCCGAGCTGAGCAGCAGCGCTATCAGCAGCAGTGGGACCAAGGCTATCAACGCGGGTCCCACCCCTATGGCCGCTCCTCCGGTTCCCGAGGATGGTACTAAGTACCTGATCGACATTTCGTGGTTCCGTCACGTTAACCGGTACTCCGAAATACAGCCCCTCTTAGAGGTGGCCGAATTTCCTTAAGACCAGAAAAATTTCATGCTTCATTTCCTGGCAGTCACTTTGTGACAAATCCGAACAGTCAGCAGCTCCAGTGGATGATGTATTCGTCCCACGCTGCACGCGTTCTTGCGACTCGTATCCACGCCAACATTCAAGGCTTGCTGGATCGTCGCCACTTTATAATGCATGTCGCGACTTTAAACTGCGCGCTAAAAGAATTAATCTGCTCCCGTATCTTCCGCTTTACGGTAGTAGAAAGCCTATGAGCCCCGAGCCACAATCCAGCCGCCTTTACGGCAGGCCACACAGCACCAAGCTTCCGTGCATGTTTGCGCCTCAGACTGACGCTTCGGCGAGGGGGGTGTAATTTGTGCACGTGTGAAGTAGCATGTTGTGTGGTGACGTTGTGGCACAAGTGCTCTAACAGGAAAAAGGTAGATGCCCAATGGTATACTGCTGTGCTTGTTAACACTTGGACGGGTATATACAACAGTGCGTGTGTGCAGTGGTTTACAACAACTATAACCTTAAACCACCCCTAACCCCTAGCCCTATATGCAACCCTATAAACCCCCGTAGTTGCTTGGCGCTGCTGGACCCGCTGGATGCGACGGCAGAGAGCGAGAGAGAGAGAGAGAGAGAAACCCTTGTGGAGCCTTGCCTGCCTTGTGCGAGTGTGAGCGTCGAAAACCCCCAACCCTGAACTTGCAATTGGCGCATTCGCAGACCAGGTCGGGCTGCGGCTGGAGTCGTCTCCGCTTTTGCAGCCTGGCAGTAGTTCATCCCGTGGTCGTCGTATGAACTTCTGCGGGACAAGACAGTCAAGCCCCCGACCATTTAGAGCTCACTCGTTGCCTTAGCAGCTCATCGCAATGTCAGTAGGGAGCGGAGCTCAGAAGTGGCCCCAGAGGTAGCGGCTGCCGTTGTGGGCATTGCAGCTGCGCTGGCTGCAGGCGCCTCGCAGATGCTTCACGGCTGCATTGGCTTCAGAGTTTCTGCCAGGAGACTACAGCCCTCGGAAGGCATGTGCAGTAGAGCAGCAGATGGTGTCACTTTGACATCTGGACTCTGATCCCAGGATGAATTTGCTGCCCTTCGGCGCCTCGGACCTCGTAGAGAGAACTCAGGACTCAGGACATGTTGGCAGATGTCGGAGCTTGTCCACGATATCGGATACTGTACCCGAAGCATCACTAAACTAAAGCCCACAAAATTCGACATCTGTATGCTGCCCGAAAAGATGAGCCACTTTGACAAAGAATGCCTCTGGCGACGATTTCAACGTTAGATCTGCCTCATTAGTAGCGGACAGAAGACAGCACGTAGAATGTAGTATGCAGAGTCGGGGGGGGTGCAAGGAACCCTAGAATGATCCAAGTCTGTGCCAACACTTGGATCGACTAAAGGGTTGAGCTGATCGGGGCAATAATGGTTCCAGAGCAGGTCCAACTTTCAAGTTCGTGCTTGTTCGTGTCTTACAACTCGTAAGACATCGGTAAGAGTTCAGGATGTCGGAAAAAGCCCTGGTATCAGCGATCGAATGCGTTTCTCACACAGGTTTTCGATTGGGCCATTGTTATGGGGCACAACCTCACGCCATTACAAGTTGTTTTGCACCCGACGCCCCGGCTCCGCTACCCAAAACCGAGCCCGAACTAATCACAGCCGCTCTTCTCGTGCTTGTGCTTGCTGTGAGCTCGACATGTGTAAGGCAACGATCCCATCTGGCCGTTGGTGAGGCAGAGCGGCTCTCGCTTCGTCGATGCGCATTGGGGAGGGCGATGTAGCTGGTGTTACTTGCTGGGTTGAGAAAGCTTTGATTCTTGTCCTGGCTGAAGATCGTCGGCAGATTGGAACCTTGGACTGTGGAAGCTTCTGCGGGTGTTTTGTGCAATCGTTCCGACAGCTCGATCGCAGGTTCTAAGCTTGAGTGAGCAGTCTATTGTGTCAGTGGGACTTCGCAGACCTGACTAAGCAGACTTCGGCAAAACTGGATGTAGAGTTTAGGGTTTAGCCCTTTTGTCCTTCTCCTCCTGGCCGGGAACCCACGACACCACCGCGAACCGAAGCACTGCAAGAGCTCGGTGCCGCCAGGCTATTCGTGGCCGTCCTGCTCCAAGGCGCCTCGCAGACGGAGATTTGAAGCTTTAGGGAAGAGAGCTTTGGGGTTCAGGATTCATTAGGGTTTACGGCCTTGTTTAGGGTTTAGGGTCATGTAGGGCAAAGAGGGAGCAAGGTTCCGTCTTTGTCGAAGTGGCTATGCCAGAAAACTCCTACTTGATTCAAGCCACACCTTTGTTTCATGCGCCCATCACCAGGCTCGCACATGACATGATGGATGCTTAGGCTTAATGCTTATCGTTTGACTGAGTTGACTATAGCCCCATGCCGTTTCAAACGCAGGCGGCAGGCGAATCAAAGAGCCATTAGACCGAGCCATTCACAGGCCAAGTGAAGAACTTCCTGGGCATGATTGTGCTGATCGCCAGACTGCGTGCCTCTGCGGCCTCTAGTGGCAGAAGACGGGAGGCTGAAGGGCACCGGAAATCATTTAGCATGCACTACTCACTACTCGGTGACCGTAGTCCGTTTCGTAATGTCGACTCAGGACCCATACAGCAGCCGGCGTCAGATAGAAGGTGTTTAGGTCCGGCGATGCCTGGGTTTCGATTTTGAGATGCCGCGCTCCTCTTGCTGGGTGGGAAACTGCAGAGCTGCTTTTGCCCATTTCGCGTCCGTAGTGTAGTAGTCGTCGAGGCAGTAGCAGCGATCGGAGCACGGTAGAGAATAGGCAATCCGAGTGTTGGCCCTCCAATGGGAGAGTCTTCTGTGCCCAGGCGTTGTTCTGTGTCTCGCCCGCTGTAACGACGTCTTCGGCTACTTGCTCCTTGGCAGCTTCCGGAGGACGGGACCCTAAGCCCTGAAACCTAAAACAGGTGTTTGGTCCGAGTGTGAGCGCCGAAACGGGTGTTTAAGACAGGGCCCTAAACCCTTAACCCCCGAAACCCTGGACCCAGGGCCCCTCGAAGCCGATCCCAAAGCTTGATAAAGCCTGATAATGTGTAGATCACTGAGCAACACCCCCCCCCACCCGGACCCTCCCTGAAGATGAAGTCTACGGATAACACAATGATAAGGATCCTGCTCTCCAGACCCCTTACTGACAGCACAGTCTTGACCAGCTGTTTCCGTTGACATGAAATCCAGCACGCCAACTGGGAGTTTCCGAACATAAAGGATCCTAATATAGCACCCTAGATAGTGGGATCCTCATTACAAGGACCCCCGAATTAGGCACCCCTAGTTTTCGGAAACTCCCAACTGAGGTTCTACCCTTTCGTGTTCTTGGCGCAGAAGGTGCTCGGCTGGAACGAAGGCAGCTGGCTCCTGGGATGACGCCTGGCTACATTACTGCATGGTATATATGGTCTTCCTTCTTGGCTTCGCTTTTTTTCATGGGATAAGCAGCTACTAGTAGAAGGAGGCTGGCATGGGCAGAGTCAGAGTCTCCTTTCAGCCTCCTGTCTGTTGCTGCGGCAGGGCTCAAAGCCAAGCGCAACCTCCCCACGACCTTTGCAAAGCATCTAGAGACGAAGCTCGCAGCAATGGCAGCCGTGTGTCCGATCTGCTTCGAAGACGATGGCCGGCCTGTGGAGTATGCCACCATGCACAACCACAGCTGGCGCAACCAGCATTGCGATGCTCATGGCATCTGCTGGAAGTGTCTGAACCGCTATGTGGAGATGCAGATTCTGGAGGAGGGCCGGTTCAACCTCAAGTGCCCCGGAATCGGTTGCAGCTACCGCCTCCTTCCCCTCGACGTGGAGAGGGCCTTGGAGGCATCAGAGCCGGAGCACCGGCAAGCGGCACTAGAGCGCTACGGCAGCATGCGCAGCGCGAGCCATGGGCAGAGGCTTCGGGAAGTCGTCCTTGGAATAGCCGGGCCTTCCGAACGCTGGCTGATGGAGGAGTGCCAGGCATGTCCTCAGTGCCTCTCATTGGTTCGGCGTGAAGATGGCTGCCTTCACGTCTTCTGCCGCTGCGGCTGCGACTTCTGCGCGGGTTGCGGCAGCCCCAGAGATTGCTTGTGCGATCAGCTGGATAAGGACCGCGATATCGTCTTTGCGGCATGGCTCCGGATTTCCCCGGACTCGCCAGTAGCATGGCTCAGGGACAGTGACAGGCGATGCGACAGACCGGAGGAGCATCTGCTGACCACTTTGGGTTTCTTCCTGTGGATGGCCTATTTGCCGGTAGATCTACCCTGGACACGCACCCCGGAAGAGCCAGAGCATTCACTCCCACCACTGCGCTGGCGATCCGAGCAATGGGAGTACTCCTCGAGTTTCGACGAAGAGGCAGACTTAGAAGTTCCCCTGGTTTTCCGCTACCCACTAAGCTCTTGGTGGAATTTGGCTGACGGCGACGAGGAAGAGAACCGCTTCCAAGACTACCGGCGTGTGCCCCGTCGGCCTTGGCGTCTCTTCGCCACTCAACGCGACTCTCGCCGCCAGGACCGACACCACTACCTGCCATTACGCTGGAAAGATGTCCGGCCCTGGACCGGGGATGATGCAGCCGCACCCCTGCGTCGCCGAAGGCAGCCGCGAGTCGTGGCGACGGTCGCGCGCTCTGCGGAACATGCCGCGGCTGCTGCCCGCAAGGTGCAGGAGCAGCGCAAGCGGCGGCAGCAAATGCGCAGACGCTTCAGGGAAGAGTTGGTGCATCTCGACTGAGGTCAGGTTAATAGGCAGGTTGTGTAGCAAGCATGGAAGTCAGCTTCTGTGGCCGCCGCAGAAACACCTCAGGCCATCCAAACAAGGAGATTATTTCCAGGGTTGAAGTTGAACGTAGAGACTTGTGCGGCAGCTCGGCAGCCAACCAATCGGATACTGTGTTTCGGGACGTTTCGAGTTTCTGTTCCCGTGAGTCGATCGAGAGTTCCGGCATGGTATTCAGATTCCCATGTCAATGTGCCAATTTTTGTTGTACAGTGTACAGGCATCTGACCCAGAGCATGCTTTCCATGCAGAGACGTGTCAGCAGTTTGAGTGTCCATGTTTACCTTATGCCCACGGCAGCCATTTGGCATGCTTTGTACGTGTGTACAGCGATTTGACCAAGTGATCGGGGCCTCCAAGAACACATTGTGGCCGGAAGCCTCACGTGCATTGGTCGGGAGAGTCTTGGGAGGGAAGTGAGAGTGCAATCCCAACCCCATAATCATCCAGAAACAGAGCTTCTGAAAAGAGCCAGAACCGCCGAGGCTCTTGCGACAGCTCCAAAGGTTTGAGCTTGCTTTCTTGGTGCCGCTTTGGCTGGAATGTGGGAGGTTCAGAAAGTTGCCCCCAATTGTCCGAAACCCCCAGCTCATAAAACAAATCAGCTCTCAAGCATCCATGCAAGACCTTACTTGGACTCGGGTTCCCATCAGGCGCACACCGATTTGTACTACGATTTTGGTAGTGGGAATCAAGCTTACAGTACCGCACAATCATGTGTTCGTCTTGTCTGTACCAGGTTCCACATGTCCAGATTTTCAGATTTCGGCGCTCGTAGCCGTCGTAGCAGTTCAGATCACAAGGCCAAGAGCTTCTTTGCAGGGATTAGTGTTGAGGCTTTCAGCAAGTTGCTGCCGTAGCACGGCCAGGTCCCGTGCGAGCTACCGAGTGCCGCTTGCCAGATAAATAAATTAAATGGGGATTCCTTGCATCTCGCATACTGTACCTAATCTTCATCCTCCATGAGAAGCAGAATCGGTGCTTTTTGCAAGGGGGGAGCAGGTCACGAACAATACATGCAGAGTCTCCACGGCCGCATAGGTTCCGAGCTCGTAGTTGCGAGATGGGCTGCAAGCAAAACAATAGATGCAAGATTTTTTCGATCGCAGATTTATATGCTTGGAGCCTCAACGAAGCTGAGGTTTATTTGGAGTGTTCACGGCATCTTGTTCGCACTTCAACACGTGATGCTGGACTGCCCCACCCTGCTCACCAACAGTTTGTGACCTGACAGACATCATGACAGATCTTAAAGGAGTGCCCTGAGATTGCCAACCAAGGCCATCCGGTCTCTGCCGGAGTTCACCGGCCTCGGCTGCCTGAGCACCGTAGCAGCGTGGCAGCACCCAGCGGGGAATGCATCCAACAAGTTTTTCAAAACGAAGGGTATATGCCAAGACTTTCGAAGCTTCGGGCGCTCGTTGGATCCTGGTCTCATGTGACTTCGCCCTTTGTCTATGCAGACTCGCGAGGTCGATCCTCTGGTCCAGGAGACTCGACTGCAGCGATAGCTTGCAGCACGCCTCAATGAAACTGTCACACCTCCAGCAAAGGGCTTTAAGTCTTTGCATCGTGGGAATTTAGGTTTGTAGAATCGGGCGACGTGTAGGCGCCATCTCGCAGCTGCTATCGACTGGCTCTCATTGTTCCGGCAGCATTTTGGTATAGAAAGCAGACAGACCGTGTAGATCTCGGTTGGCTTGTGCATTATGACTGCTGGTCTTTGAGATTTCGGGACATGTTCCAGTATCGAGTGCCAAATGTTGAGCAGGCAAGCAGCTTCCACACAACCCCCAGCCTGCAGCCGCGTGGTTGTCCTTGTACAAGATGTAATCACCCATGCATTCATGTCAGGCTTTGCGCTATGTGGAGCCCTTCGTGATGTTTGTGGCCGATCTGACTTTCTCAGCAGCATGGCGAAGTTTCCGGTTTTAGAAAACTCGAGTTTTAGATCTCTCTGGTATTCCTTAGGGTGAAATACACCCCACGACGGTAACGCACCTATACTATGGACATGGTTTCGACAACAGGGCATCTAGATATTGGTATGTCTTCGTTGCGGGTTGAGTTTGGGCAGCACAGTAAACTCTTGGCGTGCTTGTAGCGGACATGCAGGCATCTGAAACCTATACCGAATTTCTGAACCCTAAACGCTAAACCTAAACCTGAGACAATCAAGCTCGAGAAGCCGGAGACCCAAGTGAGGTGGGCTTTGCTGAAGGCCTGGCGATGATCGTCCGCAGCATCGACCGTCGGGCACATCACAAGTCTCGCGGCTCCTCAAAGCCCCAATTCTGGGTCTATTCTGTGACCGCAACTGGTCTATTTGAGGGAGGGGTATTCAGACTTGATTGAGTGGATGCTTGCAGCGCCGGAACTTCAGCAGGGAATCACTTGTCCGAACGTCCAAGGAGGGGACAGCAGCTCACTTCGCCCGGCAGGGCTGGTATCCCAGTGATATCAGTACATACATCATGAAAGTAGTCACGACGACCGTCATCCTCGTTGTCATAATCACTCCCAGAACTATCATGGTCTCCATGCCACCCAAAAAATGCGAATCATTACCAATATTATGCCATCGGGTTCCTTTACTTAATAATATACTACAGTATACACCCTGAATATTTGAAGCCCCTGTTTGGGGGGGCCCGAACCCAAGCAGGTTGATACTCTTGGCGCAGTCCGAGAGAACGCGGAGGAGACCAACCTATCAAATACCAACACCTTAGCGCCTCCAGCGAAGCCGTGCTGCTAAACTCCACGGAAACATCTTTCGCCGACACAGCGAGCTGAGGCTAGTCTGGATGTCCCTGAATGTGGGTCGCATGTTGCGTGAGGGGCCTCCGGCAGCCCTCGCTGCAGCAGAGGCGCGGTGTTGACCGCGCTTGCTACCATGATTTGCCAGAACCTAAATAGTTCGCAGTGTATCATGAGTTCCTTTGTAAACCCTTGAAAGGTATGGTCATAATAATGCCTCAGTCGGTGTTCTAACGGATCTTGCACGCTGCCTGTAGGGTTTGATCCTGCTTGCTTCTCGACTCGCGGCGGCGACAGCCAAAGCAAGACCAGCAAGACTAAAGTAGAAATGCATCTATGGTAATCTAAACCTTTCACTTGTTTTTGCAACAGCAGTCAACCTCAAATCCCAATAAGCCCTTAGGATGCGGATTCAACCAGGAATCATGTGACTCGGTAAGCCCCCCACGTATGACTGACGAAAGCGCCTGCTTCTCCAAGTAGGCTTCGGATGTCCAGAGATGAGGCGCCGCCTGCTGCTCCTGCCCCTCTGCGAGTCGTGGACAGTCCTCAACCGCTTCCAGAGTGGAGCGAGGATGGAGCCTTGCCTGATTCTGATGTAATTTTAGGGCTTACGCCGTGGATGCATTCGCATGGAGCCCATATTGCAAAGGCCCTTAGGGTCAGAAAGGTGCACCTACAATGTGTCGAGATTCGGAAACCGCACACATGGTTCTGAGAGTGTTAGGCGATGTCTACAGTCTACAGAAGAAAGGTCGCAGTAGGGCTTACAAAACTTTCGTCGTCGGGTCCGCCGTTGAGACTGCAGGACTTGAGAAACTGCACGTGGGGTGGGTGGGAAGCTCAAGAAGCTTGCAATGTCAATATTCCCGGAGCACTGCATATTGCAACTTCTGCGGCTGGCCTATTTCACCCCGCACTGTGCAAACACGAAGGCTCATTGTGCCTTTTCGGGAAGTAGAATTACTCAGCCGCTGGCCCAGGTGCGTGGAATTTGTTTGATGCAGCCGAGTAGATTCATTGAGGGGATCCTTCAATGTCTCGGGTATGTCTCAACATCGCGGTCACGACACCGTGGTGGCGAGACGCATGTGTGTGATTTGGATTTGTTGCAGAGCTTGGGCCCAGTGTACAGCCGGAGACGCACAAGCTTGACGATGACAAAAGGGTGTTTTGCAAGTTTTTAGCCACGATGCAGTTGGAGCGCTTGCCTTTAGGTTTCGCCGGCCACATGCCATTTCGCGGGCATCCGTGCAGTAAAGCTTCAAGTCACTGCGAGGCCCTCGAACCCATCGTGCCGCGTAGGAAGGATCTCGCAAGAAGCAAGGACGAGCAACATTAACAAGTACACGTGCACCAGTGTCAGGTGTTGTGATGGCACGTCCCCTCCTGCCTGCTAGCTAACTATGAAGAACGAGTCGTTGAGCCGAAAGGCTTTCGAGTCGTGCCCTATGCGCAACGTCGGAAAATAGCTAGTTATCATGGGCTTGTGGCTTCATTGTTATATACCCACAAATCCCTGAAGCTCTAAACTCTTTACCCTATTTGCTCGGGAACACAGGAGCCGTCGGTCCCTTCAACACATCGAGACTCACAGCATGGCAAGTGTAGGAGTAGGGGGACTCGCTTTTTCTAGCACAGTGCGAGACAGAGACCACTCGCCCACCCACAGGCACGTTATTTCCTGGACGGAATACGGACGAGGCTCCAGACAAGGCCCGCCCGAAGTGTTCCGAAAGCGCAGTGCATAGTGGGCTTTCGGAATGAGCCCGGCCGACCCTTTGCTGCCTAACTGCTTGAGTCATAAAGTCACAACAACAAAAGGGGTGTCTGCTTTGAGGCTTGAGGTTTGAGGATTTCTGTCAGGACATGACGTGGGTGCGATTTCCTTTAGGCAACATGCGCAAGCTATCACCCCCGAATCTCAAAAACAGGGTTGAATAGCTGGAGGATTTCCTGCCGATGAGTACGAAAGCTTTTGCTGTTTGTGGCTGATTTTTTCACAGCACCCCTTGTGTGGTTCGGTGAAAACCGGATATGCACAAGGTCGTAAGGCGAGCAAAGAGCACATGTAGCAACCCTTCAATTCAAGTCACAGGCAGGCGTACTTGCGAAGGTCTCCAAAACAAAATGCCAGGATGCCTGAACCCCAGAGAGGCGAAGACCCCCCCCACAGTCTCCTATCGAACACCTTCTGCACATCGAGCCCGAATGCCCGAAAACGTAAGGCTAGCCGCATCTAATCCTGACACCCAAGCTCGCTCGGGGCTTGCTGGCAGGCGCCACACAGGCACTGAGGCTTCCCTGCGGTCACATCGAGGGACTGGGGTTCTGGGGTCTTCAGGCTTCGAGGGTTCTCACTCTCGATGGTGGGGTTGGACGCTTCCTTGCGGCTTGGAGTTTTAGAGCCTCTTCGTGTCCAGGAGAGTTCGCTTGGATTCAGGGATGTTGACGGCCAAGACCTGACCCCCCGACTGTTGAAGAAGGTCGATCTTGAAGCCTCCTGACGATCCTAACTTGCGATTCGGTGTTTCGTGGGGTTTGTGGGAAGGAAAAAACGAACTCGGCTTCAGGATCCTAAGTTGTCAGTCCTGCAGCCCGAAGCCCCGAACCTCCATCTCCAAGATCACCAAAGAGCTTTCCTTGTACCCATGTCAGAAGGATGTGAATGCCAGGTTCGGGAGTTGAAGCTTGAGGTTCGATGTAGACACCAACTTCAGCCTTAAGGCGCCAACACTCCCCGAAGCATGACCCTCTACAAAGCCATCTTTCCTATGGCGAGGTCAACAGAGGCCGCAAAGACATCGCAGCACTGCGGACGCCGTTGGAGGAGTGACTGCCGCCCTCAACTCACCAGCATAAACGCCCTGAGCCATGCTCTTAGACATCAAAGGGCTTAGGATTGCTAAGGTGCCAGGTCTCAGGTTTCGACCCTATTATACACCACGAAGACCCTAAGCTCCGCGGAGCTTGGGACTAAGGTCGCCGGGTTGCTAACCCACACGCCCTATTCAGTAGTCTGGAGACCGAAGACCTACAGGATCAGAGTGCTGCAGGTGGGATCCTGTAGGGCTTTGGTAGGGGTTCTGGGCTATTTGTGATAGGAGTCGGCAAACGGATAGTGTGACAGAGAAAAACTCTCCGCAACCGAACTCAAAACCCTAACCCCAGAAGATTCAACAGCTCCAAAGACTCAACCACGGCGGCCGAGGCCGAATTGCAAAAAACGAACGTGTTAGAGTCTCAGAGTTCAGGATTTCCTGAAGCCAACTTGATTTTGACAGAGGTGGCCTACTCTTCCGCTGCAGACCCTAAACTCCGCTTTGCAAGGCTTGTGCAGTTTTCCGGTAGCCCACGTGGAAACAAGGGACCATCCGAGCCGCTTCTTGAAAGCCTCGCTATCTACCGACTCCCGGTTTATCTACCTCATCTATAACCCTACACTGAGGTGATTGTCTATGTGCCAACAGCTATCCTAAGACGCATGCCCCAAATGCCGAACCATGAAGCCCTAGGCCCTCAGGCTCGGACGAAGCCAGGCAAGGTCTGCAGACGAGACTGCGAAGATGGCTGACACGGCACGCATTTCGTGGCATACACATTGACAGCAGCTCCACTGGCCAACAAGCGGACCATACCCCGACCCAACACCCCAGTTTGGTGAGCGTCAACATCCATAAGAATCATTCCCGTAACCCTGTGGAACCCGAAACAAACCTTCAACCCCTAGAAGAGCTCCAGAGAGGACGGGCTGCGGACTCGGTTGGCCCGCCTGCAGCAGCTGAAGAGACAGCGACTTCACTGCATCCAAAAGATCTGGGATGGTAACCTTATCGGATCCTTATCAATTACATGTTTTAGACTTCGAGGAATCAGAACAATCACCGAATCTGTGTTTGGGACTGCAAGAATCGAGTTGAACGGGGTTCTGTCGCACTTGCCCGGTAGAATTCCGGGCCGGGAGTGCAACGCACAGCTTCCGGGTGCAGTTGAGCGGGGTCTAAGAATCCACGCCTGCGTTGTACTCAGAGTAGATCTTACATAGTTCCCTGGAGACGGGGACTGCCGTGGCCCTCCCGGGCAGGGCAGGCAGAGCAACCAAGCACCTACTGAGCCTGTTTTTTCTAGGCACTCGACATTCAGTTGGTCCTCCACCCGGTCCGGTCAACGGTCTGCTCCATCTGTGAGACTAACCATCGCGCACATGCCAATTGGAGGAACCCAGAAGCCAACCATAACTCCCAGACTCCACCAGAATCAAAGCATCCATCAAAGCCCTGAAGAATGACGGCATCCAGACGTCCGAGGGTTGCCTGCCCAAGACCCCACAAGATCCGAAGTCAAGGCTCCACTTGCACGAAACCAGATGCGAATCTTTCCGCCCATCAGAAACCTGAACCTGAACCTTTACAAAACCCATCAAAACCCTAAACCTTATAAACCTTACCCTCAACATCAACCCTACACCCGTTTATAAGCTCGAAGATGAAAGCCGCTTCACCCGACTGAGGTTTAGCGGGGTTCTGGACCAGAGGCAGCACCGGGAAGGGTTGCGGTGGCAATAAGGAGACAGAACTTCCCAAACTTTGAATCTAGCATGACACCGCGAGCCGCCGAGGTCTCTTTCATTTCGTAATTAGTGTTTGGGTGTCTCAGAACAGGACCAGCACCGTGGGACCACTTAGTTTCGACCAAAATGCTCAACCTCAAGGCCTTGAAATCTTCACATGCTACGTCCACAACCCGAAATAACTAGTTCCTGTTGTCTACCCATTCCGCATGTTCTCGGTATGGCTTGCGCTCAAATAAACCCGAAGACAATATGCATTGCGTCACCAGGCTCTTCTGGTTGGAGGCGGAAGACATCGAGGAGCATTCTTAGGGCAACCAGTGCCTAGGCCTAGGCCACATGTTCTTTTCTCAATCGTCGCCGTGGCATTTGCATTCAGCGATGGACCCTAGCACATCATGAATCAAATGGAGCTTTCTTTCTTTCACTTCAATGTCTCGGCTCACCTGAGCTTAGCTTGCTATTGATGCGCCGATGGCGATGCACGCGGCCCCTGCCCTGTCGTACATCTCTGCAACTGCACGTCATGGCCCGGAGCATCCAGTAGCAGTCGGACGCAGTGCCCATCTGGGAGCACCAGGGCCTGTGGCAGCGAGTGGCGGTCGTAGAAGTTGCGGGCTTGCTGTCTTGACTGCCTTGTCCAGTCGACAGGCGGCCCAAAGGCGGACAGCAAAGCGTCGGCCGCGATCTGCCCGGCAGTCCTCCGAGAGTCCTGCACCGCCTCAGAACCTGTACCAGCTCCTCGGTCTCTCTGCGATTGAAGCTGCCTCTGCGAGCATAGATCTTCTGAAGCAGCGGCAGCGCGCCCTGCTACGTGTGTGCCATCCGGATGTAGCAGGGGACGGCGGCAGTGCGGTGACGTCATTGCTCTCAGAAGCCGTGGGCCTCCTCAGCACATCCCAGGGTCGAATAGAGTATGAGGCGTTGCTTCAGGGTGAGTCTGTGCGAAACGTATATGGCCCCAAGATGAAATGGCCATCCATGGCCGACGTGACATTTGCAAACGACGAGTGGGCCAACGTTGAGGAAGAGGAGCGTGGCGAGAAGCATGCGGCCCAGGAGTGTGTTGTTGTGGACGAGGCTGCTTTCCGAATTCTTCGCTGCCTTAGCTTAAACCATTCTTTTCGTAGTGTATTCCTAGCATTTCGACCGTCAGCTCTGTTCGCTCAAACCTTTCTCGGAAAGGTGGCTTGCGTAAGCTGCAATATCTGTGTCGATGCTGCGCCCAACACCTTCGACATCGTCGAGTACCCAGGTAAGCTGGAGCATCTAAAGCCAGACGATGAAGGGTTTCAGCCGACTTGGCTTAGCCTCAAGGGTTTACAGAAACTCACGGAGTGATCACTCAAGAAGGTCGGAGGCGGAGGCGAATCAAAATGCTTCTTGTCAAGGGTTTAGGGTCTGGTTTCGGGTTGGGGTTCGGGGTTCGGGAGGGAAAGCCTTGCCCCACCAAGCATAATGACCCCAGAGGCGGAGACGACAACTGCAGCGGTGGAAGGACAGCCCGCGTGCTTACACAGTGGGGCGATGGTGAGGAGGCAGGACAGGGCGGAGTGCGTCGCGGGTGGTCATGCAATAGCACTCTGCACCATGGAGGGAGGTGAGATACGATGGTAAGGGGTGCAATATGGTGCAATGAAAGACAGCAGCTAATTTGCGCGCCATGCAATGCAACGCAGCTAATCCTGCGACATCTCGTGTTGCAATGAGCTACAGCCGATAGCACGATACAAAGTAGACCATGAATTGGGATCACACAGGCTTTATGTAGGCCTCTTGGGTTCAGGGTTCCAGAACAAACAAAAGCTGGATGCAAGAGGTTTGTAGTGTGGTGTTGCTTCGGAGAAGCGCAACAGTTTGCCGAGGCCCTCCTGGAGGCCGTCAAATACTGTCCCCGGAGCTCTTTGGCACAATCATGCCAGTATATAAGAAGAGACATAAGGCATCAATCAATATTCGCGGGGGGAATGTAGTCTCAGGACTAAAGTGGCTAAATGTTCAAAGGGGTTTTTAAGCATGGCTCTTAATTTCTGAGGGCTCTGGCAGCTTTTAGCATCAACTTGGGGGACGACTTCCATGACAACGTTCTGAAGCTTTGCAGGGGAGGAGTGGAGAAGTGCCGGAGGTTTCTCAAGAGATCTTAGCCTACAGTTCAGGCTCAGATTTGCAGTCAGCAGACTCTGTTTCCATAATTTCCAGGGATAAAGGGCTGCGAAGATCTTGAGGTCTTGTTCAGCAACACTGGACGCAGGGCTGAGGGCGTAGGGGTTTCGGATTGAGGATTCTGGCTACCTACCCTACGGCAGACTCCCAAGTAGAACAGCTCTGGTTTCAGGTTGCATCTACTGGGTTCCTCGCGAAGCCGTGCGGACCATCGAGTACGTGAGCCAGGCCCGGGCCCGGGGTCCTCTCGGCGGGTTGCCAAGGAAGTTTGTAAGGGTTCAGGGTAGGCTGCTGAGGCGAGGCCCAAGGAAGCCTATGTAAGGCGAGGCTATTGGAGGCACTTCAGAGAGACCTCATTCAAAAAGGGTTCAAGGTAGAATAGTTTGGAGTTTTGGGCTCTACTTAAACTCGCTGAAGGTGGGATTGCAGTCGTCTGTGTTGGGCCTTCTTTCTGCAGATACTGCCTGCCCCTCAGGTTCAGTGCGGGTCTGTATATGCATTGGAGCGACCGGTAGGACAGGAGGTGGTCGGATGGAGAGTGCTGAAAGAAGCAAGTGCCCACTGCGTCGCAGCGGCCTGCTCAGCAGGCAGAGGAGTACCAGCCATTCCTGGGCAGCAAGCGCCTCTCAGCAGCAACAGCGCAAGTGGATTCCATCATGTTTCGAGCTGTTTGGGAGATGCTGCGCAGGCCAGAGCTTGGATGTCAGAGGCGGCAAGACGAACTTCGATCCCATCTGGGGGTCTCAGGTCTGGTGGCCGGTGGAGGAGCACCTGTTCGGTTCTTGAGAGCATTTCTGAGCTTGGTCAGAGACTGGGGCACAAAGAGTTGTGTCAAGACGATGCAGCAAATGTGCTAGCTGCTTGTTCTTGTCTTCCCAGCAATCCGGTCCTCCCTGGCCCTAACCCCAAACCGCGGCTGCTCTGCGCAGGAAGGCCTCCGACTCTTTGAAGGCGGCAGCATCTGTCCCGAAGACCCGGGTGCCGCGGCAGGCGCTCTGGGCCACTGGGGCCGCAGTATGAGCTGTACTGGCTGCAACTGCTGCAGGCTTAGGATTTCTTGGATTAGAGCTTTACGTGTCCTTTAGCGCTTTTGGGGTTATGAAAGGTAAGAGGGACATCTCGTCGGGTGGTTACTTTAGCAGTGCGGCAAAGAGGTGTGAACAAAATGTGTGCGTGATATCTTTATCCAGATTGAACACAGCAACCTGCATCGTTAAAGTCTCCGTGTCTCATTTTTTCCCTCCTTTCCTCCCTCCCTCATCCTCCTCCTCCCCTGTTTCTGCCCCGTCTTTCGAGCTTTAGGGTTTCGGGCTTCGGTCTCCTCGACCTCCGAAGAGAAGCGCCAAGGGGTGGACGAGCGCGTGGCTACAGCTTGGGAAGAGCTTCCCGCCGAGGTGAAGCGAGGGTTCTGGGGTGTGTGGTTAACACGAGCAAACAGAGCAAGTCTTACGTCCTTTCGGGTTAGGGTTCTAAGCTCCAGGTTCAAGCGGACACAAAAAAGGGATTGCATTTTCGGCTTTCGAGATCCAGGCAGAGGCCTTTGGGCTCGAGGGTTTGGGGTTCTACGGTTTGGGAGTAGTAGTATTTAGGGCTCTTCCTGGGAAGACTGCAGGAGCTTTCGGGTTTCAGGGTCCGGCATTTTGGGTCTCAAGTCTGTGCTTGCAATGTCTGTACTATGGTGACAAGCAGAGGGTCCGGGAAGCTTCTGGGTTGAATCCATGCAACAAACCGTTGCGGGCCTGGTGAACAAGATCTAGCCGAAAGCAACCTTTGCATACGGCGGGAGGTCCATCCCGCCATGGTTGTTCTATTGACTCAATGAGGCGGTTTGGGCAGTCCAGACGCAGAAGCACTTGTTGCTGATTCGCTTGGCAGGCACGTGCGAAAGTTTTAGATGTCCTCGCCACTGCGTCGCAGGAGTGAACCAGCTCCACGTGCGAATTGCTTCCCGGATGCTGAAAGCATCATGAGTTCGAACTTCACGGCTGGGAAGGCCACAGAGACTTCTCGCTTAGTCCACTCCCGGCCAAACAGCCAAACAACCACGCACCAGATTATCCAATGTCCTCAGCTTCCTTCCGAGAAGTGAAGACACACCTGTTTACGCCCTCAGCCCCAAACCCTGAAGAGTGAAAGCCGACAAATTCGCATATCCCAATCCTGCATCTCAGACCTGAATCGCCTTTGCAGGCTTCGAGGAAGGCAACCGTCCGTAGCGGGCCAAATAGGCTGCCAAAACTTGGCATGCTACACGTGCGGCTCCGTGGTTTGGTGAGGTGGTTGAGAGCTGGCAGTCTTCAATCCCTACGAATGTTGCACGAAGACCAGAATGCAGTCTGCAACACCACAGAACAGCATAAGTTGATGTCGTTAGGCCGGCTTTGCTTCTGCTCTGGCCTGCTTTACATGATTTTGCACAGTTTTATCGCCTTTATCACGAACTCGAACTCCACAACCTGCCAAGCCTTGGACCGAAACAGCCCGGTAAATTCAGACCCGGAGCGGTGCTCTCCTCTTTGTATCCTCAGGGATGGACAGCACCCGAAACCCATGCCAGCAGCATTGCAAAAGGAGTGTTGGGCCGTGTTATGCGCGGTCTGCATGTGGGGTTGGACCTTTCGCTTTGAGGCTGCCAACCCTTTGGACTCGTTCTGGACTAATTTTGGAAACGATTATTGTCGGAGTTGCATTGCATGAGGCTATATCTCTTCTTATGTTTGATCATGCTGCAAGTCCTGTTAATGATTCCTGGAAGCAGAAGGCAGGAAGCTGCAGTGAGCGGCCAAGCTGGCTTTGCCCGCGGTTTTGGCCGGTTCTGGGGTTTGCTGCACCACGAGGTGCGTGCCCTTTGTGTTGCTCGGCCGGCTTTCCCATCTCATTTTCTTTCCTCAGTTCTAGCCCTTCCTTTTCCAACGGCTGTATGTCATACTGTTCAACCAGCTAGGAGTCATTTTGTCATGGAGCAAGCTATCATGCAGCATCCATCTTTGAACCTTCTCGCAAATCCAGCGCGCTTGCAGCGTCGAAAAGGAGGCGAGGAATGTCCTCATCCCAACAGTTGCGGCCCAAGTACAGTATGAGGGTTTCGGGGCGGTTAGTGTTTTGAGTGTAGTTGGGGCCTTGGGGCTTTAGGATCAGAGTTTGAAGGGTGTAGGATTTAGGAGTTCATGGCAGCCTGATTCTGGATTTTGAAGCGGATGTGCTTTGTGCAGCGGTGTCTGCGTTTCTGAGCAGGCCACAGTAGTAACCTGTCTTAGGCGTAGGCTTGCGACTTCGGAGTCACTGCCTCCTTCAATCAGGGCCCACTCTACACTGACAGAGAATCGAGAAAAAGCGCATAAACCCGGGCTTGCCAACAGCAAGTAGCCACCCGTGCGATCGCCATACTTCCACTGCGCGGTATTGACAACAACCATAGCGCAAAAGGAGTGTCGCAAAATCCTCAGATCTAGAACTACATGAACCCTAACCTTCGGGGCAGACGGAAAAGAGGGTTCAAAAAAAAACAGAACTACATGAACCTTCAACCCGAGCACCGTTAAGACCAGGCCGAGCAGGCCGTGCAGCGGGCGGAAGAGTGCCTCATCGAGGCCTTGTGGCCTAGCTTTGTTCCTCTCTACTCTTTCGGTTATGAGATGATTAGAGGGCTACACATCCATTTTACAGAATTAATTTTTTTTGTAAAATGATTGCGAAATCATTGCAAAATCTTTGCGCCAGGTTCTTGTGTTATTTATGCTCGTCGGATTTTGGGTTGCGAAACGGGTTGCGAAATCTTTGCTCCCCAAAGTCTGGGCTGCAAAAGTTTATAGCGAAATGTTTGCCAAATTTCGCAAAGATTTCGCAATGTTTCCTTGTATTTAGCAAATCTCCAAGATTTCACAAGGATTTCGCAACAAAAAGCCGCAAACATTCCGCAAAGATTTCGCAACCCATTTCGCGACCCATTTCGCAATCCGAAATACGGGGAGCATGAATAACGCAAAAACCTGGCGCAAAGATTTTGCAATATTTCGCAAAATAACTAGTTAATCATCTCATAATCTTTCGGTCGTTCTTTCAGGTTTCGAAGACGAAAGGCTCAGAAGGGCCTTCCGGGCTTCTGGGAAGAGCAGTTCTACCACACAACAATTGCCGGTATCATGGTGGCTTAAATGATGTTGCGTAAATGGCCTTGCATGTCTGTGGGATGACTTGAATGCCTCAAGCCGGTTGTTCCTTGCATGCTCTGTGCGCAAAAAGTCTTTCAACAGTCTTGCATAGAAGTGTCGTTCACGTGCTGGTATATACTCCCAATCGTATGCTGCAGTTGACCTCAAGCCCACAGTGGAGACCTACGCACTTTTAGCGACAAGGGGTTGGAAAGCATGTGACTCCTCCGAGGCAAAGCCTTCAATTACAAGGTGTCCTGGTTCGGGTTTACGGGTTCGGATCTAGTTGTTAGGGCTTTAGGGTTCCCAGGGGTAAGATTAAGCATTCACCGGGATCTGTGTTGAACTCTGAAGCCGCAACCCTTTGAGACTGCAAATGGCCGCCCTAAGCAGCTAACCAAAACCCGAACTGTTTGCACTAAACATATTGGGGAAAAATAATAAGTTTAGTATTTTTCCCCAATATGTTTAGCGCTTTAAAACCCCAACTGCTTGCAGGTGTTGGAGCTTCAGGGTGCCCTGGAGATCAATGAGGCGGAGGCTCGCGCAAGGGTCGGGTTTCAGGGGCCGTTGGCTTTCTGACTCATGAACCCGGGAGGTCCGAAGCCACCAAAAGCCAGGTACCGGGGTTTAGGATAGTAGGAATGTAGGTTCGTGTTCTTTGAGGGTACGTAGTAAGCGGTGGTTACTTGAAGTATTCTCACTGCTATTCCGACTGGCATTGATATCGATGTCGATGTTCGGATTTACGTGAATGTTTTTCGCTTAGTACTTGTATGGATACTGAGCGGAGCAGGAAGGTTTGATTCGCTAGAAGGAGCCGTTGTGAAAGTCATAACCAGTCGGACCCTTTATTTTGGGATGCGCAGTGTTTCAGAGCGGCCCCAAATGGAAATTAACTGAGCTTGCCTTCGCCACTACTTTATTCTGATCACGAAATCAGACCTGCAAAACACCCTTAAAAGATCGGAGCCCCGATAAGCCACAGCAAATCAGGCCAGCAAGACACTTTAAGAGATCAGAGACCTGAATTAAACCCCTGCTGCAAACCGTAGTTCGTCGTAACCTAAAGCTTGAGGACCACGCGGAGCCTTGCCTGCCTTGCGCGAGCTTGAGCGTCGAAACCCTGAACCTTCTAAATCCCTCAGCCCTAAACGGTATGCCAGCTGCTGCCTGCATCCACGGCTGCTTTGCGAGTGTACTTGTCGAAACGGTATGCCAGGCCCGCAAGCTTTGCTTGGAGTCTCTGCTCGGATCTTGGGGGGGCCTTCTGCCGCAGTACTGCACGTTTTGTTTGGCGCTTTGGGAGAGGGTTCTTGGGATTGAGAATAGGGACCAGGGCTCAGGGTAGGCAAGCAGGTTCGGATTGAGATTCATGGGTTTGCGGTCAGGAGTTGGGACGTTCGACACGGCATTGCTGGATATGCAGCCTCAACGACTCGAGCGTGCGTGAGTGAGTGAGCGAGTGAGTGAGTGAGAGTGAGTGAGTGAGTGAGTGAGTGAGAGAGAGTGAGTGAGTGAGTGAGTGAGAGAGAGAGAGAGAGAGAGAGAGAGAGAGAGAGAGAGGGAGAGAGAGAGAGAGAGAGCCCTGCAGAAGAAGAAGAAGAAGAAGAGAAAGAGAGGGAGAGAGACAGAGAGAGAGGGAGAGGGAGAGAAAGACAGAAAGAGAGATTAAAGAAGCGAATTCACAATTACTATTACTAGTGTCAGCAAGAAGCAGAGGGTGGTGGACTTTGGACTTATTCGTTGCTGGCTTCCAGGCCGGCCATCCGTCCCGCAAGAGATGTTTCGCTCAAGCTTTTATGAAATTGTCCCTTCGCCCTAACCCCAAGCGCTGACCCCTGATCAAGCCCTAGGCACAAAACCCTAACACGTAGACCCCAAGCGGCAAAGACCGCAAAAACTCCTTGTGCACTTCTGGAAGCCGCGTTTCTGCTCACCTCCAAGGCTCGGCGATTTCGACGGAGGGCCACGGGCTAAACTTCGAAATCAATGAAAGGCTTCTTTGTGGTTGCTCATGACTGGCAGTGCTACACCCTAAACCCTAAACCGATCGATCTGTGGATGTGGTCGTTATGGTAGCCAGTCTAGTTTCACTTGTCTCCTGGGAAGCTGAACTAGGGTGTGGGTTTCTTGAACCGTTTGCCTTCTGGGAGGCTGCTGTCAGTTGTCACCATCGACTATGGTTAGATATTTGGTGTTGGCGTATCTGAGGGTTGCGTCTGACAGCCACCCTGTGAGTGAACCGACTTGCAGGGGTTAACGAACTTCGCCGAACCTACTACTTCAGACCTTGCCAGGCTTGTCCGAGAGTGAGTGTCAAAAAAACCGATCGATCGGGAGGTTAAGCCTGCACTCCCTGCACCAACTCCAAACCTTAAGCAACCCTGAGACCTAAACTTCCCTATCGCAGATCTAAACAGTAAGCCACGCCTAAACCCTGAACCGTCTGCAGAAGCATTACATACAAACGGCGTTATCAAATTCCTAAACCCTGTCTGACGACAGCCGCCAGCTCGAGTGTGTGTAGCCTGGCTTCGCCTCGCGGAAAGAAGGTAATCTACGTGCTTGAGGATGTTGCGACGCTTCAGCGGTGTGGGGTTACGTGCCCCACGATCTCTCTAGACTCTAGCCATGCCGATGGAGACATGGTTTGCTATGCAGATGTTGCACCTCAACACTGATTAATCAAGACATTCGGACCTTCCCAAGCCATCCTTCCAAAAAGCCGTTCGCGTCTTTCCGAAGTGGCGTGCTTCCGCTGCATTCTGCCGTTCCATCATGTCGGCCCGGCGCCCCTCCCGACGGTGGGACATCAACTCGACATGGGCCCACCAGGGAAGAGCAGCTTTCCACCATGGCCAAGCCGACGGCCAGGCTGGAGAAACTGGGCTGTTGTTGAGGAACTTTTGTAATGTCATCATAATGCCGGTATACTGCACATGTAAGTAGTATGCATTCCCTGCTATGGTACCAGTAGTCGCTGAAACTAGCCTCCTTATGACACGAACCCAGGAGCCATGCTTCCGGCCTCCGAAGACCCCCAAAAAGGAGAAGAGATGTCGATTTGTACCAGTTGAGCGCCGAAGTTCGGGCCTTCGGACGGCGCTTCTTTTGGCAGGCCAGCGTGGACCTTCTCCGGGTTCTGGAAGATGCAACGGTAGAGTCGGACTCGGTGGTGTGCTCTCTGGAGCTCGCAGCTTTAGGCTGGGCCCGGCAGTGGGACCGTGGCATTCACCTTCTGAATGAGCTTCCGAAGACCCTCGTGGATACGCCGTGCTGCAATGCCGCGGCGAGTGCATGTAGTACGGCCTCTGTTTGGATCACAGCCTTCCAAGTAGTGGAGGACCTTTCCTGGAGGGCCCTCCTCCCGACGACAGTATCGGTGAACAGCCTTTCTGCCTCCTTTAAGGATAGCACAAACTGGATGCCGGCACTGGGGCTGCTGTCCTACCTCTCAAAGCACCGATGCTCAGCCGACACAGAGACCATCGCCGGCACGATCGAGTCGTGCAGGGAAGGTGGGAATTGGGAAGTTTCCCAGCAGCTGCTTGAAGAGGCGGCTGCCCGGCTCCTGGAGACGGGTCGCCGTCACCTCGAGGGAGTAATGTTTGCTGTGAGCGCAAGCTGGGCTCGGACCATGTCTCTTCTGTCTCAAGCGAAGCAGCGCTGCTGTGCAGACTCGAGCCTCTACCGTCAGGGCATCTCCGCTTGCTTGAGCTGTCGATGTGTCGGGCAGGCGCTGCAGGTTCTCCGGTCCTGCAAGGCAGACGACGTCCAACCGACCACAGCAATGCGCGGGGCCATTCTCGCAGCCTGCAGAAAAGAGTCCAAGTGGCACGCAGCCTTGTCAGTCCTGGAGGATGAATTTTTTCACGGCACCTTCATGACTGGAGCCGTTGACGGCAGCATGTGCTGCTCGGCGATTGCAGCATGTAGCGCACAAACTCAATGGACCTGGGCCATTCGGATCTTTTGCCATGCGCTTCCATGTCCTAGTTTGATCCCCATCGGTGCCTCGATCAGTTCTTTGGGACATGCAGCACGATGGGCACAGGGTCTGTGCATCTTGCGGACTATCGACTCCTGCCGGATGCCCTGGGATGCTTCGAGTTGGGACACCTGCCTCAGCCTCGGAGATCGGGATCGCTCTTGGCCAAGAGCTCTCACCCTGCTCGCCAGCGCCCAAAGCCGGCACTTGGAAGCGAGCGCTTGGAGCTACAGCTCCCTTGTGAGCCTAGCTGAGCAGGGCGAAGTATGGACGAGGGCGGCGGGATTTCTGGAAGACATGCAGCAGAAGAACCTCGGGCGACGTCCGCATTGGTTGATCCTGTCTCGCTAAGCTTGAACGGCAGGATCCTTTAGCAGTCTTCTACGGTAAGAACTCCACGGTTGGATCACCCAAGAAGATCAGATAATCCCGGTCGGTTTGCTCTTGCTGCGCTGTTTGTGTACATCTACTACTTGTTGAAATCGTGACATTTGCATAACATCAAGTTGGTCAGTATCCAAGGGGTGTGCCGCCACACGTGGCCGGGTGCAGTGCCGTGATCGCCTCGGTGCAAGAGTTCCGACACTGGGAATGGGCAGCACAGGCCCAGGGCAGGGCGGAGAGGTGGGGAGAGGTAAGGCTATCGCTGGGGCAGATGCTGATCGCAAGTGAGGGGGGTGTTTCTTGGACCTCACGGTTTCTCGGGGCGAGCATTTTCGGTTTCTGTGCTTGGAATCACGCAGGCAAGAACTTAATGTCTTGCTCGCACTTCCCTGATGAGTCGCAACATGTCAACCGCACCGTTCAGGTCTTAAGGTGGATGAATCAGCATCAGATTCTCGGCAACATGTTTCTGGGTATTTTGCACTTGCTCCCCAACGGAGCAGAGCAGAGCTGGAGTTCTAGGACATGGGCTAGAGAGCTCGAACGACGGTAGCATTCCTGAAAGGTCTTCTCTTCAGACTCCCAGAACCCAACTGCAGGCTCCAATCCCAAAAACCCTCGTATATCGCAACACAAATCGTTTTCGAATCCAAGAGCCCGAAACGACAAAAGCCGGTAGCAAGCCGCAGGGGCATAAGAAAGCGAAACCCAGGATTGAGCCCAACAGCTACTGCTCCAATGCCTTGGCCAGCGTCTGCGAGAAAGCGAAGGCTTGGAGACAGTCCGTGAGTGGCTCGGCTAGGCTTTACGTATATGCGCTTTACAGGAGGCACACGTGCTTTCCATTTCCTGCAAGTTTCTCACTTGACTGGGCTGCTCCCGCATTTGTGCGCACATCGAGAAAAGGCAAGACTAAAGCTGCAGCCCAGGTATTCTCTTTTCGGTGAGCTCATGCGGCTTCTCCCTGGATGCATTTTCGCTGACAGCCGGTGTTGCTGCCTGCGAGTTCCTCTGCTGACTTTGAGGGTGTATATGTAGATGCACGCTTTTATACACATACATGACACTACTTATGCCGCACATGACCTTTGCGGGGATGCGCAGGGCTCATCAACTGACCCCAGAGCCTAGGAAGGCTGGTCGATGGGAGCAGTGCCTCCGACTCCTGGAAGCCGGGCAGTCGCGGAGAGGCCGCATTGCTTGACTTCGGCAGAAGTATTGTTGATCCTTTCCTGTAAATTAACGAAGCAGCTCGTAGCAGCTACTAGTAGTGTGTTTGTTGAGGGCTGCTGTCTGTGACGATGCTGAAAGCTGGTGACATAATCTGATGCTGCTGATGTTGTTGTTGCTGCAGGTTCATCCTTACACTATACGGTACATCATCTAGCGAACTATAGTCCATGTCACCATCAACACTACACAGTCACCACCTTCAAATCAAGCTCCAAATAACCCTGAAAGGGGTGGGGAACAAAGAGGGAAAAGGATATCGGGTACCCTCACAACCCCGCTCCAAACCCCAGACTCCGAAGCTCAAAAACCCTTGCCGAGACCTCGGTACACTTCTCGATTTGTGCACCATGCTTGAGCCACAACGTGTGGCGTGTCGTCCTTGCGCAGGGGCCATGCTTCAATGGTCCTGGCAAGCGTGTCATCCTTGCGTCAGGGGCCATGCTTCACTGGTCCTGACAAATGCCTTAGTACACTTCTCGATTTGTGCAGATCGGCTGTGCAAACACACTCCTCCTCACGCGAGCGTGTCTGAGTGAGCGTGCCAACCCGTTCTGCACTCGAGATGCACAAAGGTCAAACAAAAGATCGTATCAAGATTGATGCCTGAGAGATGCTGGACTATTCCTTCGGCAACACTCGGCAAACTATCACATGCATCCCACACATGCAGATCTCAACACTACAGTCAGTGGGCAATTCCATCGTAGTGCAAGCGTATCTCGGCTACATCTCGGAATCTCATTGTTCATCGAAGGTTCAAGCGAGCTCGGGCTAATTCCAGAGCCGATCGTTTCAGCGTCTTTGTCAGTGCATCCGCTGGTAGCTCATTTCCCGACATGTGCTGAATGTCAAAACCCTCGAGGACAGCTTGATCACGGACATACGAACACCTGATACCTACCGTTCTGGTTCTCGTGGTAATCAATGCACCGTCTTCACGCACCAGGTTGATGACACATGCGGCGTTATCACTGAACAAGCACATCTCCTGATCTCCAGTGATTGCACTCAGCAGGTGTTTGATCTGAGCTCCACTTTGACATGTGGTTGCGGCTGCATCTACCTCAGCCTCGAATGCCGACCATGCGCACGTGGTTTGACGACAAGACCGCCACATCACTACATGATTTCCCCATGCAATCCATACGCCTGATCTGGACCTGGATGCTCCTGTTGCCCAAGAGGCATCACCATAACAGTTCAAGCACTCTTTCACTGCATCCGTGTAGTCGTAGTGTAGCTTTACATGTTCGGTACCTTTCAAGTACCTCCACGCTCGCGTGCAAAGCTGAAGAACCTTTGCAGGATCGATTGTTTGCAGACTCGCCAGTGTGCCGACATATGCACTCAGATCCGGTCTGCTACGTAGGCACACCCACTGTAGACAACCCAGTTCCTTCTGGCACATCTTCAAATCAGCATAGTACTGACCCGTGTGCTCCTTTGGCATCCACACACCTTCTTCTACATCAGGAAGATTATCACAACCCCCCATCGTGCTCCATCCACGTTTCTTTAACTCTGTGGAAATCCAAGCGTGTTGATGCAAGTAGATCCCGGTGGCATCCCTTCCAATCTTCATGCCGAGGAAAGATAGCTCATCCTTCACATTAACGGGCGTGCTTTCCAGCATGATTGTTTCCCCAACCATGAGATTCATGTGAGGATTTTGGAGGATTCCTTGAACCTTCAAGTCCCACAAACTGGACAGCTTTGCCTTCAGCCTGGCGCAAATTTCCAAATCACCAATGATCAGCGCGTCGTCCACGTACATGACCATTGCGCCTTGAATCTCGCCACTCGAATCCCGAATCAACCATGTCCCTGACTCCAGGCTCTCCAAGTTCAGCAGTCCGTGTTCATGGTGAGGAAGCGGCTCTAATGTCACACCATCGAGCTCGCCATTTCGCTCTATCTCCCACTGACGGGGGGACCTCCGCAATCCGTAAATCGCTTTCCGAGCACGCCAGATAAAGCCCTTTTCAAGGAGGCCAAGCTTGTACAGGATACTCGGCGGCTGAATGAGCACCGGTTTCGCATCCGGACTTCGATCAAGTCTGCCATTCAGGAATGCGCATGAGATGTCCAGGACCACCGCCGTCATGTTGGTAGGACGCCTCGCCAGTAGTGAAAGCAAGATTCTCACGGTCTCCGCACCTGGATTTCCTGCAAAGTTTTCTGGATCATGTGCCTTTGAGTCCTTCTCGAAGTTTCCACACGCAACTAGCCGGACTCTAGGATTCCAAGCTTGCTGAATGAGAGCAGCGATTTCCGAAGCACCCATGTCCGATCTGATGATTACCTCCGAATCCTCCATTGGCTTCTTGGTTAGCACCAGCTTACTCGGAACCGGCTTTGCCTTTGAGAACTCGCTCTGCCGAACTTTCTCCAGCACATTCTTGGTTTCCATGGTGTCTAGCTCCTTGTTGAGTCCTGCCATCCACTTGTTGAGCTCCCACTCCGGAGTCGATGGATTCACGAACACCCCTGCATCCGCAGCTTCTGTGACCATCAATCGCTGAGATGTTGCCTCATCCTTGATCATCTGCTGTTCCACCTTGTTGGAGTAGATCACGTATTTTGTCCTGGTGTTTTCTGGATTTGGCCTTTCAGCTTCCACTACCCCTACCCTGGCTTCGCCGTCAGGTTCTTCTTTTTCCACAGGAGTCACCAAGAATCCATGACCAAACAATCCAAACAAGTGCTTCTCAGCCTCGGGCACCAAATGTTTTTTGAAGCGCTCCCTGATGATCTCAGATGCGGTGTTCCCGTCGTTCCACGGCTGGATTTCCCCTACCGACTCTTCGACCGTAATCATGTCTGAAGGTGGAGCATTCCACCTCACATCCCCAGTGGTGCTCACCCAAACTGCTTGATCTTGAGGTCCCCGTTCAATTCGCCATCTGATCGCCTCAATGTCCTTAAGAACTGGCATCTGCGTCACACGCACAGTGGTCCTACCGTCCCGCGTTACCAGAACCCGAGCCCCTCCAGGCGTTCGCTCATCATTGGCCAGGAATAGGCCCTCCTCTGCCCTAGGTTCGAATGGATGCCCCGCGGAGCTTGTCGGCTTTCGGACGAACACTGTGTCGCCCATTCTTGGGCGGTCCCTCGGGATTAGAAGTTTCAGTGCCCTACATCGCCGCAGGAACGTGGCTTCCAGCACTGCCTCATCCCAGAGTTGCAAAGGGAATTGCGAATGCAGCAACAGGGATCCCGCAGCTGCCTTAAGCAATCCTACTAGCCTCTCTGCCCGACCATTCTGCTGTGGCGTGTATGGTGCACTCATCGTGGGCCACACACAACACTGCTCCACTGCTTTCTGAAATGCTCCTCCCACGAACTCCTTACCAGCATCACTGTGGATACGGAACACTGGGGGAACACCCTGAGCGAGCGATACAATCTGGCACATCACAGAGGTCAAAGCTTTAGCCACTTCTTCAGTTTGTTTGGTGAACAACAGCCTCGAAAACGGGATGTCACTACCATCCTTTCTGCTCAAGTTTGCAACCATGAAGTAGCGATGTCCTGAAAATGCGGCTGGATGGGGACCTGACAGGTCCATGGACAAAGTGCCCTCACCGATCTCTTCCGGAGTCAATCTCCTGCACTTGCGCTTATGACCGTGGGCCTCAGCACAGCTGGGACAATGACGCTCGTACAACCCTTGTGCACACTTCCTCCTGAGTAGCTCAATCGCCCTTTGTTGCGAGACTTCATCAAAGCTTGATACAGGGTTCACAGCTTCAGCGCTTCTGACGCTCCATGGCTGCACGGATGAGCCTATGTCTCGGACTAACGAAATCCCACAATGCTCACAGCGACCCGACGTCCCGGAGGAAACAAACCCTTCATACCCCGAACAGCCCTCACCCTCATCCTCATCATCGAGGTCATCTGGATGCACTCTGCTGTCCTCCTGGGCTCCATGATCTGAAACCTCACTGACTGCTTGATGCGCCATCGCCTTGCCCTGACTTGCGACTGCAACTGTGGCCTTGGATGAAACCTCCGGTAAGTTGAAACCCAATCGTCTCAACCTGTCTGTCATATCCTGATCAAGACGCTGCAGCTGCCTAGCCGTGTAACCGACCACCGTTGATCGAACACCCCGATGTTGCTCAGCTCCGTGCCAACGTCTTGGGTCAAAGATGTGTGCTTTTTGGCACACGTCTAGCAGCATTCCAGTTTTGACTTCATCCTGCGATACACGTCTCCTGGCCGTGCCAGCTGAATCTTCAATCCACAGCTTGCCACCCTCAAATTTGGAAATTCCCACGATTCCCGCCACTGACCCCACAGCGTTCGTAAGGTCTCTGTGCGGACGCAGGGTAGCATCGATTGCCAGTGAGATCGTGGTAAACGTCAAAGTCGGCAACTCCTGTCTAATGAATCTGACCAGTAACCTTGTCAAGAAAGGTCGTTCGCGGGTAACAGTGGTGATCCCTGTAACTCCCCCGTGGCAAAACATTCCGAATATCCAGATTTGTACTCGGTCTTGATCTGGATTCACCAACATATCCTGCCTATGCGTTCTTTGACCTTTCAAGTGTGCCTCCCGGATAAGTCGCCACACATCCTCATGCGATATACTGTCACGACTCAAAAGCTCTCTAGCTCTAGACTCTGACTCCCAAATTGCCTTTGCGATCTCCTCGCTCTCTTCGGCTGTCATGCGGTATGCCTCTTCATTCCACACAGCCTCGCTCAACTCCTCGATGGAACATGTTTGGCAACTCTTCCACTCAAGAGCTGTCTCTGTAGCTGCGCGTGCAACTGTTGGCCTGCGTTTGAAGTGTTTTGAGAGCATGATCCGAATCGGCTTGAAGCTCTCCCAATCAAGAAAGGGCAACCCATTCTGAATCCTGCAATCCACGTACTGCTCATGCCCTTCACCGTCAAAATAAGATACTGTTGCTGCCTCTCGATCCCACTTGAAAGTTCCACCAGCCTCCACGAGCCGACGAA